ATCTTCCCCAGCATAAAGCCCACTTTCTGAATCTTTTACAGATGCCTGTTTTTCTTCATTGACATCTTCCCCAGCATAAAGCCCACTTTCTGAATCTTTTACAGATGCCTGTTTTTCTTCATTGACATCTTCCCCAGCATAAAGCCCACTTTCTGAATCTTTTACAGCTTCGGCTTCTTTGGTTCCTGAACTGTCTGCTTTAGTTTTAGGTTCCGCTGGGGCTGAAGCCGTCTCTTCTTTGAGGCTGGTGATCTTTGTCTCAGTGTCATCTCTCTGATCTGCAGCCCTTCCACTCGTGCCGGTTGTAGTTTTCTCTTGAGGTAAGGAATGTGAAGCAGTTTCCTTCTTTCGGGATGTGACATCATCGTCAGCAGATTTTCTTTGCACAGAAAAAGGATAAAGGTATGAGACGACAACATATATTCAAATTTGACTAATTTGCTTGGACGATAAAAAAAAACAAAACAAAATAAAAACTAAATAGCAGCAATTCTACAGATATTTTTATGACTTACAGCGGAGGAGTGGTTTTCTGCTCTTTAGTAGGAGTGGAAGCAGGAATCACAGAAATATAGTTTGCAGTCAAGTCGAAGCCCTTGGCGAGCCGGAGTTTCTCTGCAGCTTCCACTTCCCTGAAAATGACCTTTGCCTACAATAAAGCAAACATGATAAACTTGTATTCCTTTTGGCTCAGTTCACACAGCAGCCTGAAGTGACCCAAATCTGATTTTTTGGCCCATATGTGACCTTTATCTGATCTTTTTATGGCATTTTAGACAACACAGATCCGATTTTTTTCCAATGCAACCCAGGCCACTTGGCTATGTGGTACTAAATCTGATACCAATCTGATCTTTTCAAAAGCGACCTGTGTCTGAACGACCAGGTCGCATTCATCCGACCTAAACGCCATTAATACCCGACAAAGGTCACTATTCTGTGTCTTGCCATGAAGAAACGGCAAGAAAAACAGCAACCATGGCAGACGATGATGTGGAGAGCAGTATTTATGTTTAACCATCTCATAAAGACTGCCTTTTTATAGTTGGTATAGATCGCTAGATGCGCTCCAGCACTACCATCCATGCTGTGATTTGCCTGCATGTTATGAATGCTGGCGTACCATAAATGATAAATTATGAACAGTTTAGTTTGTGCCTTCAAGTCGTTGCCCATAGGAAGACGTTACTTGGATATAACCTAACAGAATATCTTCAGAACGGCTCCAAATGACACATAACTCATAAGGGTGAGTAGAACATGATGTAATAACATAAAATCAAGGGGCCAATTTAAAAAACAAACGTGTTCACCTTTAAGGTTAGACTGAGGGAAAAAAAGGTATCTGGTAGTTTTTGACAGGGTCCAACATTTATATTAGATATCGGCCAAATATCAAGCAAAAAACTAATATTGGAATATGTCGTCCTAAAGGCTGTCTGCTGAAAGAATAATCAAACTACAGCAGCAATTAAGAAAACTCTACAAAAATATAAACATTTTCCTTTAGGATCAAAAAGCTTTGTATTGTATAAATATTTTATTACATGTAATTTTTTTTGTAAGAGTTGTTGCATTTGCAATGCATATAAAATACACACAGATTTGAGACTGCAATCGGATCTTTATAAAAAGAGATGGAGCAAATGGACTAGATTTCTATAAAACAATAACTGAATCAGGTCACTTTTACTGTCACTTCAAAAGCTGCTCAAAAATCCCAAGATTGAAATGTAAAATTGTATGCTGTTTTCATCCTGTATCTGTTCATCTTTGTCAGAATGTAAGTAATTCTTCTTGTCGACAGTAATTCTGTTCTGTGTTCTGTATGTGATTGATAAATGAAACACATTTAATAAACATAAAGTATAAAAAAAAAAATAAATTCCAAATATAAATGTTTTACTGAAAGTACTTCTTTCAATTAAATTAATTAAACTAAACTAATGCATTGAGATTAATTGATTGCTAAAAGAGTCGATAGCTGCAGCCCTGCTGGGTTCACATTTGAATGAAAAACATAGCTGTATAAATATATATCTACAAGCATAGTTAGAGTTCTAGATTAAAGATTATTTTCAATCTCATATGGTTAACATAATCAGCAGCAGCATATATAATATTCTCTAAAGCAGGGGTCTTCAACGTTTTCCAGGCCAAGGACCCCCAAACCGATGGCAAGATGGAGCGGGGACCACCTAAATATATAAATTGTATGAAATTGCGTATATCAAACTGGTCCTATAGTCACTCTATAATAGATGGAGTAATATGTTAAAAGTAATTTCACCCTGGGATTATAAAGGTATTTCTGATTCCGATTCCTGGTTGACAGGACAGGTTTTGTATCCTGTTGAATCATGAGGTTGTGAGTTCGATCCCCCATTCCCACAGACTGTGACTCTGGGTTAAATGCAGAGAAGTAAATTCCCTCTGGGATTATTAAAGTAGAAAAAACATGAAATGGTGCCCAGCTTGAAATACTTCACTAAATTGTGATATATAGATATTTCAATTAGTGGAAAACATTGCAGTGGGGAATATAAAAAAAAAAGTATAATCAACTAAAACTTTTGCGACCCCCCCGTGTAGTACCTCCGTGGACCCTCTAGGGGTCCCGGACCTCCTGTTGAAGACCTCCGCTCTAAAGGAAAAACTACAACTCACATGGTTTCTTGGTTTATTTCCAGACTTAACAACTTAAATCTGCCAAAATAATCAGAACTTAACAGCTTCTATAATTGTAAACCTTCATTGTTTCAATAAAAGACTCTTTCCTGCGACAGCAGCTTTAGTTTTTTCACCCTACACTAGTTTTATGAAAAGGGTCTGGAGGGATTTTTCTACATCTCTCTACTTAACGTCTTTAATTACGTGATAATGTCCCACAATTATGCAGAGGGTTTTGTGGATTGATGTTGAATAGTAAAAAACTTAATGATTATCAATATTTTTCCCACACCTAGTACAAGATGTTACAGCTAAGAGAAATGTGTGCAAATGACATACGTTTTGTCCTGAACACTTTATGTTCAGTCTTTACACATACCTTTTGTCGAGCTCTACGTAGCAAAATCGTCTCGATCTTCCCAAATGACTTCAGGGCAGTGGAGAGTTCAGTGTATGAGTTATAGCATCGGATCCCTTTGAGCTTCACTGACCTTTCAGATGAGGACTCATCCTGGACAGAGGGCAGAAACAGAAAAAGAGTAAATACAGGATTTCTTTTTAATAGAGTATTGTGAGCTAAAGTGGTAAAGCTACTATTACGGTAGTTTATCTCCGTCACTTGCATATATTTTTTTTGTTTGCCATTTTATTAGCATGGAGAATAACTTGCCTCAGTGTCCGAAGAGTCTGTCTCTGTAGTAGACCCAGAGGACGGCGAAGGGGATCTTGACTTCCCTTTATTTAGTTCAGCTATTAAAGTAGGTGTCAAAGATTTTACCAATGCCTCCAAATCCGAAGGGTTTGAGAGAGACTGGACACCTAAAGATGGATGAAATGGAATAACTTGTTTGGATTGTTAGTGACCTTTGACGGAAGGCCATAGCCTCTAGTCATTTTCAACATTCATGTAAAGTGCTTCCTGTTTCCAGTGACTGTAGAGTTTTATTTTATTCTACAGACTGTTTCAGAACCGACTCATTAATCTCAAGTTTTCAACGGTCAATAAAAACGTGAATTAGACATGTTTCCATGTATTGGAGCAAATTAACCAGGCAACGCAAGGCTAAATGCCATCATGCATTTCGGTAATGCTTGGCTGTGATAAACGGAAAGCCGAGGTAGCAAGCTTGCACAGCCTACAGATCAGTAATGGACAGAAGTTGAATCAATGTGTCGCAGTTCGACATTTACCAACTTTATTATATCAGCTAATAATGACTCATAACGAAGTCTACTCGATTGATATACATTTCTATCTACCCTTAAGCACTTATACCCTCTTTTGCAGCACATTTACTACTTTTTGAAAAAAATAAACAACCTAAAGCAAATTAAAAACTTTTTTGTCAAATTGAATTAGTTGATTCAAATCTGGCTGTTTTTAAATAAACCTCTTCTAATGTGATACTTCAAAATGTGCATAACAGAAGTTGATGAAAAACATGCCTAATGGTCACAACAGTCAACCTGAACCCTATATGCTGATGATATAAGTCTTTTTCTATGCTGATGATGTGACTCTTTATAACTCAAGAACATAAGTCTTTTTATGGAACTGAAATTGTTCCCCAAACGGCCATGTCAAGGATCAATGCCCTCCACTCATGAGACATTGTTCCACTACCACTTCACCTTCTTAAACATTTCTTGGGATGAAAGAGTGAAAATTTTAAACAATATAACAGTGGCACAGAAGTGCATAAGTCTAAGAATACCAGGCACATAATAAGGTTTAGAAGAGGCACCATAATTATTTGGTAAATTAGTACTAGTGGTTTCCACAGTACAGCAGCTGCACACTGCTTATAACCACATACTACTCTGTCAACATAACAGAGAGAAACTAGTCTCTAGCATGCCTAGTTACAACCTTTTCAGAGAAACCAGAGCTTGAAGACAATTTTTTCATTGCTTAAAACTCCCGTTTGGGAACACGTTTTGCTTCCAGGTGGAGTATGTTAATTGACTAAGACAATTAGATAAGACGAAACAAGCATTGTTCAGTGGAGATCAGGAACATCAAACTTAGTAAGCATTCAAATTGCATCATATAAAGGAGATTATTGGCACATTAAGAAAAAAGAAATGCAAATGATGCTTCCAGATGCATTTAAACAGCCTTTTCAAAGCTGTTTTGATCGAGCTCAAGCAGTTATGAATACTATTTGAGTCCTTATGGCAGCAGATTTAAAGTCTGTTTCTATGGCATTTTCGGCTGTTGAGCTCTTTGGGTTGGAATACAGTAACAAAGTACCTTCCCACATTTAATAAGAAAGCTAAATCTGTTTTTATCCACATCTTATCAAAGGCAGCGGCTGTTGCTGCTGACGTCCAGAGCTACTGAGAGTTACTTAATAGTTACCGTTCCTCACATTGCTTTCATGTGGAATATAGCTACTTGTGTTCTGCAAACTCAGGGTAAATGTGAGCAAAACAATAACTCAAATATAGTAGATGAACTACAGGAGAGGAACCTGGAGAGGTCAGGAACAATTCCAGAAGTTAAAGACCCTGATCTACCTGAATGATCTCCACTTTGATTTTTGTATCCACGGCAAGCAACCTTTTTTGCTTTCCTTTTAAATTAAACCTTTTCATGTTTACGCTAAAAATAAGTAGTTCTATGTTTTACTTTTTCTTCCCTTAAGGAACTGCAAAAGTACCAAACCAAAAACTTAAAACCAAGGTAGGCACCGAACTGTGACCCACTTATGGGTAGCTAAGTGTTGCAATACATATTTGGGATTATTTTAAGTTAGAGAATTTAGCGAGTAAAGTCAGACTTATTTTTTTGTCCTGGTT